GACTGGGTGACAAAGTAAGACCTTGCCTCAAAAACAAAAACAAAAACAAACAAACAAAAATGCCAGTAAACAAGAGGTCATGCTTTGTGACTCAGTCTCCAAAGTCAATCTTGCTTAGGGCCTAACAAGTTTTAGAAGCTTAAAATAGACAGACTGTTTATTTTCTTTCACAATTTTAAATTAAAATTAGGTAAATAACGCTAGAATTTTAAATTTCATTTAAAAAACAATTCAGTCTTATTAAATATTTTTGTACAAATAGTTATTCCCAATGCTAGTATTCATTGTCTATTTATGATTATGTAAATATTCAGTCTCACTCTCTACTCATGTTACACCTAGACAGATACATGTTTATATCAGTGTATACGCATATGTGTGTATTGAGACAATTAAAGAAAGGAACATCTGCCACTACCAGGAAACAATACATGTTTATGCATGAAAATTGCATTTGTGCTATCTAAGAGGAAGAGTATGACAAGCTAATTTGTGTTTTCTCTTACCTAAGTGTTTCTGTAGCTTGATGATTCTCTATGTAGCATTTCAAAAACAGTGCCTATTTCTCTCTCTCTCTTTTTTTTTTTTTTTTTTTTTTTTGAGATGGAGTCTGGCTCTGTCGCCCAGGCTGGAGTGCAATGGTGGGATCTCGGCTCACTGCAACCTCCGCCTCCTGGGTTCAAGCGATTCTCCTGCCTCAGCCTGCCAAGTAGCTGGGACTACAGGCATGCGCCACCATGCCCAGCTAATTTTTTGTATTTTTAGTGGAGATGGGGTTTCACCATGTTGGCCAGGGTGGTCTCAATCTCCTGACCTCGTGATCCGCCCACCTCAGCCTTCCAAAGTGCTGGGATTACAGGCGTGAGCCACCACGCCCAGCCTGCCTATTTCTCTTAAGTAGCAAAACCCAAAACCTTCAAGACATTAGAATGCAGTTGCCTTTCATTTTTTTAATGGTGGTAAAATATGCATAAAGTAAAGCTTATCATTTTATCCATTTTTAAATGTATAGTTCAGAGGCATTAAGTACATTAACATTGTTGTGCAAACATCATCACCCTCCATCGCCGTAACTTTTTCGTCTTCCTAAACTGAAATTCTATATCCGTTAAACAATAACTCTGCCAGCCTCTCTCTCCCCCAGCCCCTGGCAACCACCTTTATTCTTTCTGACTCTATGAATTTGACTACCATACATACCTCATATAAGTGGACTCATACATTTGTCTTTTTATGACTGGTTTGTTTCACTTAGCATAATGTCTTCAAGATTTATCCATGTTGTAGCACATGTCAGAATTTCCTCCCTCCTCCTGCTTTTCAGGAATGAATTTCTTTCCTTTTTAAGGCTGAATAACATTCCATTGCGTGTATATACTACATTCTGTTTATTCATTCATGGACATTTGGGTCGTTTTTATCTTTTGGTTATTATGAATCACAGTGTTGTGAACATAAATGTACAAATATCTGTTCACGTCCCTGGTTTCAATTCTTTTGGTACCTTTCAGCTTTGAATATACGGAACAAGAGATGTGATAAAGAGGTTCCCTCAAGCCTGAATAGTAGTGGTAAATAAAGCAAATATTTATCCGGGTGTGGTGGTGTGCACCTGTAATCCCAGCTACTCAGGAGGTTGAGGTGGTAGAAGAATCTCTTGCACCCAGGAGGTGGAAATTGCAGTGAGCCGAGATCACCCCACTGCACTACTCCAGCCTGGTGACAGAGGGAAACTCCGTCTCAAAAAAAAAAAAGAAAGAAAGAAAGAAAGAAAGAAAGAAAAGGAAAGAAAAGAAAAGAAAAGAAAAGAAAAGAAAAGAAAAAAAGCCAGGCTTGTTGTTGCATTTCTGTAGTCTCAGCTACTCAAGAGGCTGACATGAGAGGCTTGCTTGAGTCCAGGGAGGCTGAGGCTGCAGTGAGCTGTGATCATACCACTGCACTCCAGCATAGGTGACAGAGTGAGGCCCTGCCTCAAGAAAGCAAATATTTAAGATTGTACTTGTGCTGAGTGTGAGTGCTGGATCTCAAATGATAGGGGTGCCCATGTGTTCTTTAATATAGTTACTGTGTGTGTGTGTGTGTGTGTGTGTGTGTGTGTGTGTGTGTGTGTATAAGAAAGAGAGAGGTTCGTGTGGCCCTCTAAAGTGTGGGACCCCGGGCAGGGCTCCTTTTGCCTGGGCTTAGAGTGGTATTGTCATAAGCACATACATGTATCAGAACTGGGTGAGTGCAGCAGTGAGTATAGATAGAAAAGAAGTTGACGGACTATGCCTGGGACACTTAGAAATCACAAAGAAAAGAGAGAATAAAAAAAAAGAAATCAAGACCAAAAAAAAAAAAAAAAAAAAAACACGCCAGGAGAATGTACAGACTTGGAATCCAAGAGAAATTAAACGTTGGGGAATTATCAACAATGCCAAATACTGCTAAGAGATTGACTAAACAAGGACTGAGAATTCACCTTTGGACACACAAAAAAGTAGAACTCAGTGGTGGTGTTAAAATGAGCTGTTTCAGTGAGTGGTGGGGACAAAACCTGACTAAGAAGAGTTCAAGTATGAATGAGAAGAGGGTAAGTAGAAACAGAGGGTCTGGCCAGCTCTTTAGAGAAGTTTTTCTATAATGGGAAGCAAAGAAGTGGGAGGGAAGCTAGATGAAGATGTGGTGGAGTCATCAGAGATTTATTTATTTATTTTTTTGCCTAATAGAGGTGGAACAGCTGATGGCCCTACATCTTCAGCTGAAGCTCCATAGTCACACATCCAAGTGCCTATCTGGCATCTCCATTTAAATGTCTGATAGGAAAATCAAACTTAACCTGTTCCAAATAGAACTCTCAATTCTCCCTCACTCTTTCCCCAATCTGTTCTTTCCTAAGCCTTCCTTTTCTCGGTAAACATCATTGCCAGCCATTCAAACCAAAAGCCATGTAGCCATTCCAGATTCTTTCCTTTTCCTCACAAACAGTGCATCAGCCCGTTAGTTCTACTTCCAAAATACATCTCTAACTTGATCATCTGGGAGTACTACAATAGCTTCCCGGCATTCATTCTCACGACTCTCATCACCTATTCTCATATGGCAGCAAGAGTGTAAATCAGACAAAGTTACACCTCTGCTTAAAGCTTTGATTACTCAGTAAAACAATGATTACTCAGTACACTTCAAATTCCCACTGCTTACCTTGAGCTGTACTGTCCTACATGATCTGGCCCTTTGCTCCTTCTCCAATCTCATCTTCACCTCTTCCCCTCTCTTGCACCATATTCCAGACATGCTGGCCTAAACCTAATTTATTTGTATTACAAATATATAAACAAATACAGAATTATATATATATATATATTTTTTTGAGACAGTCTTGCTCTGTTGCCCAGGCTGGAGTGCAGTGGCGTGATCTTGGCTCACTGCAAGCTGCAAGCTCTGCCTCCCAGGTTCACACCATTCTCCTGCCTCAGTTTCCCGAGTAGCTGGGACTACAGGCTGCCACCATGCCTGGCTAATTTATTTTTACTTTTTTTAGTAGAGACAGGGTTTCACCGTGTTAGCCAGGATGGTCTCCATCTCCTGATCTTATGATCTGCCCGCCTCGGCCTCCCAAAGTGCTGGGATTACAGGCGTGAGCCACTGTGCCCCGCCCGAGAACTGTTTTGGATACTAATCAAAGCAATGGTTTACGACCAGGCGCGGTGACTCACGTCTGTAATCCCAGCACTTTGGAAGGCCAAGGCGGGCGGATCACTTGAGGCCAGGAGTTCAAGATCAGCCTGGCCAAAACAGTGAAACCCCGCCTCTACTAAAAATACAAAAACTAGCCAAGCATGATGGCGGACGCTTAGAGTGCCAGCTACTTTGGGAGGCTGAGGGACAAGAATCACTTAAACCTGAGAGGCAGAGGTTGCAGTGAGCCTAGATCGTGCCACTGCACTCCAGGCTGGGTGTCAGAGTGAGACCCTGTCTCAAAAAACAACAACAATAAACCATGGTTATATATATAGGGAATATCATCTAGTCTGTGGCTTGTCTTTGTATGCTATCTTTTAAAACTTGTTATACAGAAGTAACACATTTTAATACAGTCAAATCTAAATATATTCCCTTATGGTTTGTGCTTTCCCAGTCCTATTAAGGAATTCTTAGCCAGGCGCAGTGGCTCACGCCTGTAATCCCAAAATTTTGGGAGGCCGAGGCGGGCGGATCACCTGAGGTCAAGAGTTCGAGACCAGCCTTGGAATGGAGAAACCCCGTCTCTACTAAAAATACAAAATTAGCCGGGCATGGTGTCACATGCCTGTAATCCCAGCTACTCAGGAAGCTGAGGCAGGAGAATGCTTGAACCAAGGAGGCGAGGTTGCGGTGAGCCGAGCAAGATAGCGCCGTCGCACTCAAGCCTGGGCAACAAGAGTGAGGCTCCGTCTAAAAAAAAAAAAAATTCCTCCCTTTTTGACATTATAAAGCTATTTTTGTTTTTTGAAAAATGTTTTCAGGTCTTTAATCCATCTCGGCCTTATTTTTGGATACGGTTTGAGGTAGAAATCTAATCATTTATTTCCCTTTTGGAAAAAATGTCTCATCGCCATTTATTGAAGAATCCGTCCTTTCGTCCACTGACTTGAAATGCCGTCTTTATCATAAACCAAGTTCCCTTGATGTTACTCTTCATTTCGGCCTCACAATCTTCGCTTATTTTCCTTCTACAAGGGATGCTTTTCGCTATGTTCCTTTCAGGGCTACCTTCAGATCGCAGTTTAAATGTCATCCCCCTCATAACCAGATTGCTCTACAAGCATTTCTGGCTCCGTGATCCCATGACCTCAAAGGGGTCTAGGTGGGCATAGCCTCTGACCAGTTGTTGCTGGGTTGTTGTCAGGACTGGTGATGCGTAGGCCACTGAGAGGAGGAGCACCCGGAGTCCGAGTGACGGAATCAGGCGGGCGCCCGCGTCGCTAAGGAGTGCGTCACCATGCGCGGGCGGACGGGGGCAGGGCCAGGGCTGAGTCACGTGGCTTGGTTGCCTACGCGCTGGTGGGCCGTGGGAAGATGGCGGACGGAAAGGGAGACGCCGCCGCTGTCGCCGGGGCTGGGGCTGAGGCTCCGGCGGTAGCGGGAGCCGGAGATGGAGCCGAGACTGAGTCCATGGTTCGGGGTCATCGCCCCGTATCTCCAGCGCCGGGAGCCTTGGGACTGCGGCCGTGTCTGTGGCAGCTGGAGACAGAGCTGAGGGAGCAAGAGGTGTCGGAGGTCTCATCTTTGAACTACTGCCGGAGCTTCTGCCAGGTGAGGGGCTGACTGGCTGGCTGAGGGCGGCGGGGCGGGGAAGTCAGGGAAAGAGGCCCTGGATCCTCTGCAAGCAGCCGGGTCCGAACTGAAAGGCGCCACCTCAGTGACTCGCCGCGCCCCCGGGCCGGGAAGGCCCAGCTCGGAAGCTCGACCGCTGGCCCCCCTGCGCCACTGCCCGACTTTGGCCACCCCTGGGGCGTTTTGCTCTGAGCCTTACTGAGATCCCGGAGGGCCCTGGCGGGTCCCTGGAAGGGCTGTGCCCTGTCGCCGTTGCCTGTGTCCTGACCGGGTGGTTGGAGCGCCACTGCCCCCTGAGGGATTGATTGCTTGTCCCTGCCGGGAGATCCTTTTTTGAGTGGAGTGCAGATCTCCGAACTGTTAAACCCGGGTTTTTCTGAATAATCCAGAGAGGCGTGTTGGGGTCAGAGATTTATTTTTGGAGTTAACATCTTTTGGGCTCCTAAAAGGTATGACAGTTGGCTTCGAAAGGCGTCTAGGGCTTTCTGATTAGGGATTGCGGAGCCGGTTGGTTGGCTGTTTTTTTCTTTTTTCTTTTTCTTTCTTTCTTTCTTTCTTTTTTTTTTTTTTTTTTTTTGACGTTTAAGCTGTTCTTTCGTCTTTTCTGTATTTCTTTGAGAGGATTGTGCTACTGAGAATAAGACTGACTCTTTGGGTAGAAGAGGATGGGAAGAGGGATATAGAGTGTGGCCTCTTTTGGCAGTCGTATGATCATTTCTGTGCCATGGTGGGTCCTAACCTATGATTACATATTTATGGGTGTGTTTAGTCTCCATGACCACTCCGAGATTTTTCTGTATGTTTTCAAGTCTTTTACAAATATGAATATTGGCCATTATTATTTCTACTTCCAATGTTTGTTCTGTCAGGTTTTAGAGGCACCCCTCTGCTCCTTATCTGTTGTACCTTAGAAAATGCAAAATAATCGTAGTATGTTGGCACTTGGAGTCTTAATAAGTAGTCCAGTATGCTGAATAAATTGCGGCGTTCTAAAATAATAATTTTGGGGGGCAATTTGCTCTGTTGGTCCGGAGTAGAATAAAAGTTAGCTTGCTTGATTGCTTTTCTCCCTCTCTCTGCGGAGACAGAAGCACTTCATCTCTTTGAATGGAATTTTGTCCTTACTCATCTTTTCCATGGATTGTACCACTCCAGTTTTTGTGTGTACAACCTGCAACATTGCCCTGTACTTTTAAATGTTAATGTGTTGTTCTCAGCTTCCTTAGCAGTAATCATCCTTGTTTAGTAAGCTAATTTATTTTACAAATTTTTACTGACTTTATAGGATAGTGCCAGGGACTTTACCAAGTGCCGGGGAAACATGAGTAAGACAGCACTTAGCCTTGATGAACTTACAAGTTGGTGGGAGGTGGTAGAAATGACAGTATTTCCAGTGCGGTTTTGGTAATGATTGAAAAGGAGGTGTTGTAGAGACAATGGTGAGGAGAGAGCCCTCATGGGATATCCTGATGGGAAAGACAATTAACTAGTAAAAATAAGTAAAAAGATTAATTATAAATTGTAATATGTGCTTAGAAAGAAGTAACTGGGAGAGGCCACTTTAGATAGTAGACCCTGTGGGCTGCAATGAAAATGAGTCACCGTGAAGGTCTCGGGTGGGGAAGCATCCCAGTGCCAAAGGTAGAGATTGGTCAGGACCCAGAATGCTATGGGAGAAGGGGAAACTAATGGAAGGAGAGTGGTGGTGCAGAAAACAACTGTGGGTTTTGGGTAAGACTTCTAAGCCTGAGTTGTCCCCCTGGAAAGATGACAACAATGAATGTAACCAGTCACATTGAAACTTGTCAAAGGATCACATATATATGTATTCTGCTTTATGTCTAGTGCTTGCAACTGCAGTTTTATTTAACGTAATATTTTAATGTCTTGAGTCTTGGTGACACCAGAGATGTGATGGCCCAGAAGAATTTTTAAAAGAAAGCATGTGTAATTTGTCTTTTCTATGAAGTTTTTTTTTTAACCTAAAATTTTTCCAAAAATTGTTTTTTAGACTAATAAATGAAATAAGAACAAGTATTCCTGTAGCACTATATTGTAATAGAAAGTACATGGGATTGGGAGTTGGGTCTTGACTGTGACTTTACCACTTCTTAGCTAATAATCTTGGGTAACTATGTCTGCAAAACTATCTTATTTTCTGATCTTTATCTCCTTATAATGCCTTATACAATCAGAATAGAAAGTTTGTGTACAAGTCTTCACAAAATTTGTCATATTTTTGACACATTTTTTTCCTGTAGTCCAGATAAAATCAACTATGTCCTTGATGACCTGATACAGAAAAAGTAAAAATTGTATGAAGAAGCAGGAAAATTTTCACCATCAATAAATTTTGTTGAATAACTCTTGGTTTCACGTTTGAAAAGAAGAATAAGATATATTCATTCACTTAAGGAGCACTGATTGTGTGACAGTTCTGAAGATGGGAACCTAGTAAGACAGTTTTCTCAGACTCTAGGAGAGGAGCACATAATATATAAAGATAGGTAGTAGGCATTTTTACATTATCATAAAGGCCTGACGCCTGCTTATGGGATGCTTAATACTACAAATGTATTTTCATCAGTTATTTAGTTAGAAATGTCCTAGAGACTTAGATTGTACCAAGCAGATCTCTTTTGCAACATCTGGGACCATATTCTCTCCAACTCTTGCAGCACTTAAAAGAAATGGCTCTATCTTTGGAATTGCACCAAATCAAGAAATAAACTAACATATGAGTGAATAGAGAAGCTTGTCTCATTCTGGGCGTATTTTCAATTTTCATATGTTTGTGAATATGATAAAATGAAACACTGAAAGTAATAGTTACTAAGAAAATGATACTTAGGTCAAACTGTATTCAGTGAAAAATTGTATTAAGTGACTATGGGATGTGGTTTGTTTTTTCTCTTTCCTTCAGTTCCTTTTGTGAAACCACTGCCAGACAGTGTGGATAAGATTAACTTTAGAAAACAGTCTTTCTTTGTTTTCCTGAAAAATTGATGATGTCTTCTTAAGTTTTTGCTGTATTTTGGGGACCAAGATTCCTTAAGTTTTACAATTGGTGTCTCTATTTGTAACAGAAATTTTGAAGACTTTTTTTAAGTAAACTTCGTTATCAAAATTGGAATTGTTGGGTGATTATATGATTACACTTTGAGAATACTAGGCAAAGTAATTTTATGACTAAACCATGTTTATATGAGACACTTTTAGGTTCAAGACTAACAGTGACTTCTCAGATTTTTAATGGCTAAAATAAGTAAGTACTGCATTAAAATTTCCATTTTTCCTAGATTAGTGATGGAGTACAAGGGCTGTGAGTCAGATAACCTGTGTACTGGCTTCACTATTGAAATAGTTGTGTAACCTTGGGCATGTTATTTTCTTTAAACCTTAATTCTTTTGCAAATGGATAATAGCACTTATGTTTTGTATGCAGATTCATTGTTGTAAGGACTTAATAAGAAAATGTCTATTTTAAAAAATACCTCCAGAATTGTCTGTGTTATCCAGATTTCTTAGCTTTGTAGCAAAAAGTTTTCACAGCCTTGGTCTCAGCATGCTTTTCTACCCTCCCCTCAGTCTCATCACCTGAATTCAACTGTTTACTCCTATTCAGGAGTTCTATACTTGGAGTCAGTCCATGGACCAGCGTGTGATTGCAGTTATTCCTGTGATTAAAATTTTGTCTGTATCTTTCCATGCACATTATTTTGGGAAAGATCATTTTAATTTTCATTTGACTTTTCAAGATCCAATAAACGTATTAACTACGTTAACAAGATCTCAGGCCATGCCTTTCCCTTTCATTGTGAGGTTCTCTCATTTTCTGCATGGGAGATTTTTCTTCTTTAGGGCCCAGTATAAATGTCATCCCTTCTGTGAAGCTTTTCCTGATTCACCAGATAGATTTCCTCTTACTTGTTTGGGATTTTTTTTTCCTTGACACTTTGTATATACCTGTAGTTTTAATTCTTAATTTTATTGCTGTCACTGTCTTCTTTCAGGTTTTCTCCTATTGCAGCCACCTCTTCACTAATCTCTTGTTTTCTGACTGACATTATCTGCAGTTCATCTTTGTGTTCTTTCTAAATTATAAATATAATCTTGTTAGTCACTTTATTCTCTAAAATGCCTCAATTTTTTTTCCCCCAAAGGCAAGATAAAGTTCAAACTTATTAACTTGGTATACAAAGCCTTTTGGAATCCGAACCACCAACTCCCATTTTTCCAGCCTCATTTAAAAAGTTGGTTTGATCCCACCTTCACCACTGTGTCCATTTCTCACTCTGCCTCAATAACCCAGGGTCTTCCTTTCCCTATCTACCTATTTATCCTTCAAGACCTGGCTCAAATATTAGGGTCTTTCAGAAGCTTTTTCTGATTTCAGCAGGCAGAATTAGGTGGTTCTTTCTCCAATGTATTTTATTAGCTTCCAGTACATAAACGTGGTGCCTAAATATTTGTTTCCATGTTTGTCTTTTGTATTGACTTATAAATCAACAAGAGCAGGGATCTTGTTTATTTTTATTTTTTTGTATACTTAGTACCTAGCAATTAGTACAATGCCTGTCACACAAAACTGATTTGTTAAATGGATTGTATTGTGGGGACTTCATGTACACACATGAGATACACACTTAAAAAACAGTACTTTAGGGGGAACACCTAATGTAAAATCTATTATGTAAAAAACAAATTTACCATAAGAAATTACTATAAAGGGAGAGGATGTGGAGAAATAGGAACACTTTTACACTGTTGGTGGGACTGTAAGCTAGTTCAACCATTGTGGAAGACATTATGTGGCAATTCCTCAAGGATCTAGAACTAGAAATACCATTTGACCCAACCATCCCATTATTGGGTATATACCCACAGGATAATAAATCATACTGCTATAAAGACACATGCACACATATGTTTATTGTGGCACTATTCACAATAGCAAAGACTTGGAACCAACCCAGATG